ATAGACCATCGAATAAGCGACCCTAACTCTAAATCCCCAATCCAACGAGAACAGGAAGTAAAGCAAAGATCCACAGATTCTAAGTCTATGACGTCCTGGATACATATAATTTTAATGTATCCCCTAAGCAATTATTGACTTATTGATAAAAATCTATTTTGTTCTCAGATAAGGAATTATAATAATGCCAAAATACCCCTATGGTATTTCATTGTGGTAATGCTGGTAAGTTTTTTTTTTTTTTTTTTTGACTTGTTGCCACATCACAACCATTCTTGGGCATATACTAATCACTCCTTGGACCAGCATAGTTGATCAGGCTATGCCACTCCCAAGATTGACCATACATCCCCAGGCTTACCTGTGATATCCAACAATCATCACTTTTGTTTTGTCCTAGAATGATGCTGACCTTAGTATGTATGCATGCATGTATACTTTTAACAAAAGCTATTTATTCCTAAAGGTAAAGTGGTTTTGAAAACTTAAAATCAAAGACCTTAGTCCCAATGCATTTATAGTTTGTATATCTTATGTGGTTCGATATACTTAGCTCACTATAAACAATGCTCTGATACCAATCTGTCACACCCCCAAACCAAGGATGGAGGAAACGTCCGGGGGTGGAGGACTTCATTGACAGTATCACAACAACGGATATAATAGTGCTCAAAGTAAATACAACCACCATAAATATAATTGAAAAAATTACACCAAAGTATATGTTTACATGTTTCAAAAACAATTACATTATGATGACAAAAATAAATTGTTGACGGTTTAACGTCCCATCCTCAAAGCGATGAAGTTTTCCTGTTTCACTGATTTCCTGAGAATACAAGTAGTTTTGAAAAGTGTCAACAATTAAGTTGGTGAGTTCATAAGAGTTTTGTTTGAAGTAGAAACCATTTTCCTTGTAAAATCGATATAGTTTGATTTGCAGAAAATCCAATATTTTCTTAGTTAAGTGTGAATAGAAATATTCCTTTATGATGCATTAATGAACCCTAGAATGACTCGTAGAGTTCCTCTATAATCGTCCAGCACATATAAGTTATATAAGGTTTAAATTAGATAAAACGTTGAATATAGTGGGTCTGCCCTAGGTCCACAACCAAACAAGGAACAGGAGATGAGGCAGGCACCACTAATTCTAGGTCAATCGAGACAAAATTCTTATAAGACTCAAACATGTACGCTCAGCGATTATAGTTGAAGTCTAACAGTTCTAGATGCAATATAGTTTTAATATCATAATAACTATCTTAAGTGAACACCTGGCACTTTGTATTTGTACCCCTTTTTATATAAAAACCGGCACTTTGTATTTGTACCCCTTTTTGTATATAAACCCAGCACTTTGTATTTGTACCGCTTTTTGTATGAAAACCGGCACTTTGTGTTTGTACCCCTTTTTGTATATAAACCCGACACTTTGTATTTGTACCCCTTTTTGTATGAAAACCGGCACTTTGTATTTGTACCCCCTTTTTGTTTTATACGAGTATGTTATATAAATGATCATAAACTATACCTATTATAGTTTATTAAAATTTTTGAAATGTATAACTATACCTATTATAGTTTAGTATATTTCTTTGTGGTGTTTAAGAATCTCATTCTATGGAAGTCAAATGTATAGTACATTATAGCTATGTTTAACTTGTTTTGTCTCGTACTAATGATTATGATGGAGGATTCTTATAAATTCCGCAAGTAATTTCCTATTATATAATTATATCATAACAAGAAATACATGAATATATGAAGTTATTAAAGTTTTAACACTTTGCTCAACATGTTACAAAGTGTTTTGATAGTTAGAAGCTGTTAATTAATTCTTAGTCTTTCAGCACTGTTTTAGAAAAATCATAGAAAAATCATACGAAGTCGAAAACTAGATCCGTAAATTCTGAGAATTCACAAAATGTGTCTAGTTTACTCATAATTTTTATCAAGATTTTTAATGACCTCAAATTTGGGTGAAAAAGTCCATAATCACAGACTGGTCCGGATTGGTGTTTGAAATGATAGGCAGTTTTGTAAAATTCACCATAAATTGTAGAAAAATCTTGTGGAGATGTGCAAGTAGTCATTTTAAAGCTAAGAACTTTAACTATTTGCATCTTGTACAGTTTTGAAAAATAAAATGTTTAAGTTGTCCAAAACAGTCCGTGAATGGAGTTGAACTTTTCTGATGAAGGCTGTTAGAAAAATTTAGTTATATTCTTGGTGTTTTAACTTGTATACCCCCCCTGAAAACTTGAGAAAACATGAAAATGTAGGGGTATGAACTCACCTTGAGTGATTTCAGTAGATAAATGTTGAAGAAGAGAAGTGTTCAACCCAAGAACACTTGAAGAATCACTTGAAGATTCGAAGCTCTAACGCTAATATGATGGAGTTTGTGTAAGATATTCATGATTTGAGTAGAATGAAGTGAAATAATCATAAGGAGGATGAATTATACTTACTAAGAGTGGAAGAACACTTGAAAATCAGCCTTGAATCTCGAAATTGGAGTGGGAAAAGTTTGAGAGAAAAGTGGTGTTTGATACTTAGTGAAATGAGGGCAAATGAGAGAAAATGAGGAGAGAGGATGTTTGTTCCAGCTCTAAAAACGTGGGAATGAGTGTAAATTGAGTGTGAGGGACATTGAAGTGACCTAGGTAAGGTGGGGAGGTGTGGTTAGTCAAAGAGTGGGTGTGGGGTGGTTGCTTGTGACATTGGATAAGACAAAGTCAACACTCCACCTTTAATAATTCACCAATTTGATTTTTATTATTAAAATAATGATTTTCATCAAAATATGTTTAAATTATGAATATTTAGAGTTTATTATGTTAAAATATAATTTCTGGAGAAAATCCCGCTTTAAAATCACGAAAAACGGGCTTAAAATGTTAAAAATATCAAAAGTGGGCTAAAAGTGACAAATTTCCGAATTCTAGCCGAGGTTCGGCCTTCTGATGCTGAAACCGAGAGGAGGGAGGGTAGAAACCGAGAGGGGAGAAAGGAGAGAGAGGGAACCGAGAGAGGAGAAGAGAGACCGAGAGAAGAGAAGAGAGAGCAGAGACCGAGAGGCGGGAAGAGAGAGAAGAGACCGAGAGGCGGGTAGAGACAAAGAGTGAAGAAACGACAGAGAGGAGAGGAAACGACAGAGAGGCGGAAGGCGAACAGAGAGTGCGAGAAGCAAACAGAGGCAGAGGCTCGGTCCTCGCGTGCCACAGCCAACAGAGGCTCGGTCCTCGCGTGCCACAGCCAACAGAGGCTCGGTCCTCGCCTAAGAGGCCTCTCTTCTTGGTTTCGGTTCCTAAAGCCTATTTTTCTCGTTTTCGCCCCGTTTTGAGCCGTTTTTGACCCGGTTAAGGGTCGGAATGACCCGAATGATCCCAAAAAGTTACGGAAACTTTTGAGAGAGATTTGGGAGAGATTTCTCACACTTGGAGAGATTTGGGAGAGATTTGACATTCTTGGAGAGATTTCTCATACAAAGAGATATTTGTGAGAGTTTTCAGATACTTGGAGAGATTTGGGAGAGATTTGACATTCTTGGAGAGATTTCTCATACAAAGAGATATTTGAGAGAGATTTCACATACTTAGAGGGATTTGGGAGAGATTTGACATAGAGAGAGATAGAGTGAAAGCGATTGAGAGAGGTTCCATGTGGGACAGTTGTGAGTGTCCGGCATCGCAATGCATGGTTCGTAAACCCTGTTAAGCCTTGTTTAAGGATCCTACACACTCCCGATGAGTAAGCATCATTGTTTTATCGGTTTGGCTTGCCACTTACCGCAACTTTTAGGTTAAAGAGATCTAGTTGTACGTACTTTTCGATTTATGTTTTCTTATCAGAATAGCAAGTTGTTTAGTAAATGCTGAACGTAAGTCCTAGTACACAAGGGTTAGTTGAGCTGACTTGTTGACTTTATTTGACTTTGAATTGACCAGAATTTGACGGTTGTCACAATTGGAAACTTTGTACAGGTTCTCTTCTCTCACGATTCAACCTGGTATTAAGTTTGCTTTTTCTTTTCTCTAGATTTTTTGAATCTTATTTTTTTTATTATAACTTGATAGTGTTATTGAAGTTTTATGAAAAAAATGGATTTTTTTCGTCAGTTTCATGTATTAAAAGCTTTTTTTTTGTTCAGATTGTGGAATGCTTTGTGTGATTGAGTATTGTTACATGTTACAGAGTAATTTGACAATAAGGGGTGGGGGTGTGTGTGTATTGGATGAAAATGTTTTTTCTTCAATTAAATAATGGTTTTCATATCTTACAGACTACCTTTTTATTAATTATATTAGGTATGAAGCAATTAAGGGGGAGGTGGCAGTTAAAATATGCATGTTGAAGTTGAGGAGGCTATAAAATTGAAGTTGCATGCATCAGGTACGATTTATATGAACGTAGTGTTAAAATGAACATCAAATACAAAACTATTTTAATATTTTGTTTTGGTCATCTGATACTCCATACTTGATGTAAAATATCTAGGAAAGGTAGTGTGTAAATGCATATAGTTGCTGTTAAATTATGATAAACACTGAGTCGAAGAATGGAAATAAATTGAGAGCATGATTTTAAAGGTAATTTATAGAAGTCCAGTTGGTTCTTTCATTTAAAGTTAGATGTTGTGTTAAGGGTTTTTGACACTGTAGCACATCAATGTTTGGTATATTTGCACATTTCGTCACTAAACTTTTTTATGCTCAATTGATCCTTAATGTTAGTAACTACCGGCTAATTACCCCCTTATGCACCAGGTAAACGGAACAACCGGTGATATTGCTTACGTGGAATAAGTTTACATAATATAATTCATTTATTTTATCCATGTAGGATTTAGAGGTCAAAATAAACACATTTATTTAGCTAGAACACTCCTTCTCCGTTCTTTCTTTTTCTCGTCTTACAGTGAGTACGAAGCACTAAACCTAGGGTTCGAAGTCGTTTTCTCCGATCGAAGTCAGTGAGCAGTCAACCAACCCACAATGTCTATCTCGACGCCAAACCCTGATGGACTCTACCCTATAGTGGAGCTGAACTTCAAAGGTGTTTTTCTTAGAAATCCTTTCTCGTATAACCATGGTATCAATTTCACTTTTAATGATCACGATTTTTCTAGAATGACATACGGTGACTGTATCACATTTCTCGAACGGTTCATGCAAGAAAGTATAAAGAAGTTATACTATTGTGAACCAGGTAAGCCCTTAATATCTGGGATAACTGCTATCGCTAATGATGAAGACTATGGTGGTTTCATTTTTCATGCATATGGGATAGATGGTAAAATTTGTATGTATGTGGACCATGATGGTCAAGGAATAGAAGATTGGTTTGGTTTTGAAATAGAAGAGGAGGATGGAGATGATTCTTGCATTGATGGTGGTGAGAACGAGGATGAAATTTATAGCCTAATAGATGTGGATGTGGACTTTAATGAGGACACAATCACTATGAATAGGACAAAGGGTGATGAATTTCTAAATAGATTATGTGGCGAAGATGAAGAGGGAAATGATAACAACATAAATGATCATGATGGGCATGAAGAGGATGCCAATGTAACTCAACAACATTCCATTTTTAATGAGTTACTTCCATGGAAAAAGTAGATCCCAATACTTGGTATGAGGTTCAAAGATCCATCTCAATTAAAATCGATGTTATGCAACTATGCTGTTGCGAATGGGTACCAACTTTGCTTTGAGAAAAATGATAGGAAAAGATTGTTGGTTAAGTGTTGCAAGGGTAAGTGCTCATTTAGGTTGTGGGCATCTTGGATGAGTGATGAAGCAAGCTTCCAAATTAAGTCTTTAAAGCCAGTCCACAAATGTGTAAGGAACTACAAGTTAGGGTCCATGGTCACTTATGCTTCGATAGGGAGTCATTGTACAAGAGAGTTCTTACTTAGACAAAAGATGAGTGTTAGAAAGCTAAGACCATATGTGTCACAGAAGTTTGGCATTCATGTTAGTGTTGGTCAATGCAGGAGAGCTAAGAAATATGCACTCCAACTAATAGATGGCACCCTAGTTGAACATTATGCAAAGTTATGGTCGTATGCAGAAGAGATTAGGAGATCAAATCCAAGTAGCACTATGAAGCTTGATGTAAATCATATGCCAGATGGGAAGAACTACTTTAGTAAGTTCTACGTTTGGTTTGATGCATTGAAGAAGGGGTGGAAGGAGGGATGCAGGAAGATAATAGGTTTAAATGGTTGTTTCCTTAAAGGGATCTGTAAAGGGGAGTTATTATGTGCTGTTGGAAGGGATGCAAACAATGGGATTTATCCTATTACATGGGCAGTAGTATGTGTGGAGAATAAGGAAAATTGGAGGTGGTTTTTGGATTTACTCATTGATGACTTAGGACTTAATTTGGGCTATGGATACAGTGTAATATCTGATCAACACAAGGTAATTTAGTTGTTTGTAATTAATTTTCCTATATATTTGCATCCTTATTCACTATATTTAGAATTTGTTTACAGGGTTTGATTGAGGCTGTGAAAGAACTCCTTCCTTATGTAGAGTATAGGCAGTGTGCCAAGCATATTAGCCAAAACCTTAGGAAAAGGTATAGTGGTGCCCAATATGAAAGCATTTTCTGGAAGGCATGTAAAGCAACAACAAAGGTAGATTTTAAGGTTGCCATGAAAGAGCTTGAAGTGCTAGACCCAAGTGCTCATCAGTATCTGATGGACAAAGACCCCAAAACATGGTCAAGGGCCTACTTCCAACCAGGAAGATGTTGTGATGCTGTGGAGAATGGAATGTCAGAAAGTTTTAATGTTGTGATTGTTAATGCTAGGAAGAAACCAATTATCACCATGCTAGAGGAGTTGAGGATGTATATGATGGAGAGGGTGTTCAAAAAGAAATGCAAGGGTCCAGGATGGGGCAACCAAATTTGTCCAACAATTAGAGAAATAGTGAATGACATTAATAAGGGTCTAAGACATTACCAAGTCTTACCTAGTGGACTAAATCAGTTTGAAGTAAGAGGAACTACTATTGCTTATGAAGTGGATCTTGAAGAAAGAACTTGCTCATGCAGGCTATGGCAGCTTAATGGAATCGGTTGTGTCCATTCTGTTGCAACTATTAGTTTTATGAATAGGGATGTAGAGTCATATGTGGACAAAATGTTTAGTAGCATCACTTATATGAAGGCATACAAGTTTAGGTTAGCACCTATGAATGGAAGTAATTTGTGGCCTGCAACTGATTACACCCCACCTTTACCTCCTGTTCGCAGAGCTATGCCTGGGAGACCTGCAACTAAAAGGAAAAGGATGCAACAGAAACCCCAAACCAGTCAAGTAAAAAATCAAAGACAACTACCAAAACACAAAACAAAGGTAAGGAGCAGGTGAAGGTATCCAAGGCTGGTAAAAAACAAAAATGTAGTCTTTGTAAGATTGAAGGACACAACAAAAGAGCTTGTACTTTAACAAGGCCTCCTAAAACTAAAGCTAAAAGAAAAACAAAACAGGTACATAAGTATTTAAATGGTTAATCGTTACAATTTCTTTTTAAATTTCTAATAATGTTTCATATTGGTCAATCAGGGTGTAGCTGAAGCTCTCAATGAGGATGAAAGTAATCAATCTAATGCAGTCAATGGTGGAGGAACAGTAAATGATGGTGGAGAAGCAGTCAATGATGGAGGAGCAGTAACTCATGGTGGAGAACTAGTCAATGATGGAGGAGCAGTAAATCATGGTGCAGAAGCAGTCAATAAGGTGCATGTACAACAAGACTATGATGAGGTGGAACTCACTCCTTTAGAGTTTGATGCATCAGCTAGTAGAGAACCTATTCAGGTTCATGTACAAGAACAGGAGGCTAGAGAAACACCACTTGCAACCCAGTTGAAGAAAATCATGAGGAAGAAAGCTGAAAGGATTATCAAGTTGAAACTGGGCAAGAAAGTTGGTGGAAATGATGCACCTGGGAATTCAGAAGCTAAACATGTTACTCTAGAATAACTTTAAGTGTTGGTTTATGCGATATGAACATGTTATGAAACTGCTATTAACTATGCTAGTTTATATGAAACTATGTTGGTTTATGTGATGTGTATTTTGTGTTACTTAAGTTGATTGTTATTTTGAGCTTTTTGTTGTGTTAATTTGAAGTTGCATGCATGGCAAGGACTTGTCTGGTTAAACTGCATGGCAAGGGAATATATTTTCATATATAGATAATTTAAAATTATGATTGATTATGTCCTTATATACCACGTGTGGTCAGTGGTCCATATACCCTTACTTTTCCATATATACCCCTGCACAGAACTCTAAAGACAATCCACTTTTAAATAGACCAAGTGAGTTCCTTATGGCCGACAATGTGGTACACACACTTTAATTTATAAAAGGAGCACATGCATATTATAAAATTCAGCAAGGTATTTCTTAACTAGGATATTTCATATCATTCATTTAATCAACACAAAGTCATTACAATTGTTCCCATGTACTGCCATCCCATTACATCTACATTCCATTACATCTAACATCCCATACACACACACACTCATCAAACAAGCATTCAACAAAAAACCTGACTATACATTACAACTAGGATCTAACCTTGACCATGTACCCATACACCCATACACTTCCCAAAAAAGCTAACAACTTTTTAACATTCACCCATACACTTTCCAAAAAATTGGTTGGAACTATATGTTGGATTAGTGTCTAAGTCCATAACTATTTTGGTATGTACTTGACCCGATGGTGCATGGTCCTTTTGGGTTGCCTTCACCAAAGCAACTTGATTGGAGAAATAAATAAAGAGAGAAAGGTTATTATGATTTATTAATATGTTATAATAATAATATATTAAAGGAGAAATCATATTTGTTTAATTAATATTGGTCAATAATTAATTAGGAATTAATTTTGTGATCAAGTGTAATTAATTAAACTAGAGGGGCTGAATTGTAATTATGTGATAGTTACAAAATATGGTAATGGTTATCCTAGATATAGGTTGGATGAATTCAAGGGATAAGATATCCTTGAAATCGTCCAAAGGATGAAGGATAAGGGATTTCTAAGACTTATCTTATGGTTACTTGGTGGGCAAGCAACTAGATAAGGATAATGACTGAAACTCTATCTGAACACCTATATAAAGCCCCAAGGCTCATGAATTCGTGTATCCCTTCCTAAGGAGTCCTAAGGATGAATTCTAACCTCTCTCCTCTCTCTTTATACCTTCTCCATTTGCTCTTGGTGTTTGTAAGCCATTAGAGGAGTGACACTTGTGACTCTAAGCATTCCAAAGTCAATTCAAGGAGGAATTGGGATTGTTATTGCTACATAACAATCTAGGTATGATCTTGAACCTAATTACATATTAATATGATTAATTGAATGCTAGAATTAGGGTTTATAGTCTTGGGTTCAAAGCATGTACAATAGAGAAACCTAGATCCAAGCATTAGGGTTTGTATGAGCACATAGGATGTCTTATGACCAAAACTCATCAGTGGTATCAGAGCCTAGATTGGTTTCAATTGTATTGATGCATTGTATATCTGAAAAAATTCGATTTTTGGTGTTCTAGAGGCTGGACTCGCCGAATCCATAGCTGAACTCGCCGAGTCCAGGGTGACTCGACGAGTCCGGGCTTGACTCAACGAGTCAACTCGTCAGATAGTGCTTATCTCGGGATTTCTTGTTGTTTTTGCATATGGATAGTTACCTTATCATGTTAGATCAATATTAATCCGATTATATGATATATATTTGACTATATTTTTGATCTAATTGAAGATACTTATCAATTAATAAGATAATTGTTTCCTTATAAGATAATTGATTAAGTATTTTGAGTAAATTGATAAATTGTTTTGCAAGAAATCATTAAATAAATCAAATATGGATAATTATGTGATTAAATGTTAATTTGAATTATTTTTATTTGATCCTTGTTGTTATGAAAAGTTTCATATTTTCCCCTTTAGGTTTTATAGTTTAAATTTGAACCCAAAAGTTTTGTTGTTTTGAAATTTAAATAGTTAAAACCCTAATGTTTTGAAAAAGGTTTCAAAACTTACCCTCAAGTTTTGGAATTTAAAAGTTGACTAAAAGTTTAATTAAGAATGTTAGATTCTAAAACCCTAGTAATGTTTTGAAAAGTTCAATTTACACCCTTATGGTTTTATTAATTAATTAAGGTGTATAATTAAAAGAAGTTTAATAAATCCATAAAAGTTTAGGTTTGCAATTTAATTGAATTAAAAGTATAATTGTTAAATTTGACCACCTAGTATTTTAAAAGTGTAAAATACACCCTATACTATATATATAACATTAAAAGTCTAACATTATATATATGTATGAGTAAAAGTCAGTCTTACCGTTAGTAGGCCTCATTCACGAAGCTGGTCTATAAGGGGTGTTTAAGGAAATTGCCTATAAAATGGCGATTGAATGGGTATCCACTCTTACCCACCGCACTCTTGACTAGTGGAGGGTCGTTAGCCGAACGGGTAGGATAGGACGAAACCTTCCATTATAAGTATAATGAAATACAAAGTAACTAGATGTTTTTCTAATTCCCAATCTTAGTTACTTAGGCAAAAGTGAATTGATGCAATTCCATGAAATTACACTTTGTGCCCTTGCGAAGACGTTAGTGGAGCGTGTGTGGTTTACCGGCACACTAAATGGTTCTAAGCAAAGGTAGCAAAGGGTGACTCAATGTTTTCATAGTTCGGTGGAGCGTGTGTGGTTTACCGGCACATCGAATAGGTGACTGTAACATGTGAGGGCACCATGTAAGTTTGCATGGTTATTCACACCCGCTTTGTGATCCTCGGCATCCCAGTCACAAACAAGAGGGGCATATCGAGATTTAAACATGCCATTGAAAGTTCAATGAATCTCAAAGGATCTAGGAGTTTTCATAGATTTAAAACTTAAATTTCTTTTTCGTTTTTCATGGTGGAAATTAGTGAATCGTCATTCACTTACCTTCAAATGTTCTGCAATTTGGGTTACGGCATCCCTCTCCCGAGTTGTAGAATATTGTGTTGGGTCCTAGCCTTGGTATCTCATTTGGGTGATTTACTAAGGACTCAATCGATCAACTAACTTGAATTTGTTTTCTCCCGTTTTGTAGATGTCAAAGTTCGACAACTATGGTCTTCCCAAATCCCGTGGAACAAGCATTCCACATGAAGATGATATTCCACGATTCGATCGAGGAACAAGAAATCATGCTTCACTTCCTCCTCCTCCTCCAATTATTCTCCCTAACCCACAAGATTGTAAAATTGAAAGGTTCAATGTCACTCAAGCCCTTTTGGCAAGTAAACATAAAGAAGGAAAGTCGGTGTGTGCACACGTCTTAGGGATGAAGTCACACATTGATAGGTTAAGAATGATGGGATTCGTTGTAGGTGAAGAGATGGCTGTTGATTGGGTTCTTCAGTCACTTCCTAACTCGTATAGTGAGTTCGTAAGAGAGTACTATATGATGAACCACGACGTGACCCTTATTGATCTCACCTATATGCTTATTGTTGCTGAATCAGCAATGGTTTGGCGCAATAGAAAAGCAAAGTTGATTGGTGAATCTGCCTTCAAGACCTCTATGGATATAGACAATGGCAATGAAAGACATGCAATGATCGAAAAGTTTGATCATAAGAGAAAGGCGATGTCTGAAGTAGTTCCATGTGTGTTCCAAAAGAGTCAATTTGCTTTTATTGCCAAGAGAAGGGGCATTGGAGACGAAGTTGCCCTATTTACCTAAGAGATCTAAGAGATGGGAGAGTCAAAAGTATGACTACGCTTCAGGTAAAATCCACTATCTAACTCCGTTAAGTTCCTATTCATTGATTCTTAATACATGATGTGATAAGATTGCATTTGAATGTTTTGCAGGATCGGTGAAAAGAAAGGAAGCTTGATAAGAGAGCAAGATGAATCTAATCACAAAGATGGATCTCGATCGCATGGACTTGAAGATTGGATTTTGAGCTTAGATAGTTATGATAGAGTTGTTAGAAATTTTCCTTTTACATAGTTTTCAATAGATTTTGCATTGTAAGGACAAATGTTTTTCCGCTGCTTTTATAAATAAAATAAATTTTGTTGACTTATTTATTTATTTGTTTACTTCCTTGCAATGAAATCGTTATGAAAATTGATGTTTGCATATTTCTACAACGAATGGATATGATTCTTAGTTATGTTATTTATGGAAATGTCGAGAATTTACCAAATAGGGAGAGTTTCTCATCGCCCAAAGTTTCAATTGGACTGAAATTTGGAATCACGCAACTTGGTTGCATGATGAATGAGAAATTTCATATTTGGAAATTAGACAAATTCGTTGACAAAGTGTCAAGTGAAGGACTAGGAGATCGAGTACACAAAGTTGTGTGTTGATCAAGTTCACCATAAGAGTAACAAAGATATTCGTCATGATTTACTAAAGGTTAGTAAATATGATTATACTTACAAGATTAAGTGTAATTCTGAATTGATTAAAGGGTTTAGATCAATAGTAGAACGAATAAGAAGAATCAAGTAGGCAGAAAGATAAAAGTTTCTCCATTCTAAGAAGAAGGGAGAGTAGCTTTTATGCTTTATGATAGGTCTTAATGATTAAGAACCATATCTCAATTGATCCTCTAAGTGAGTCTTAGTACAATTGTATGTTTAAGAAGAGGAATCAAGGATTGAAGAAATGGTTAAATCAAGAAGTCTATCATACTTCGTTCCAATAACAAGTCTTAAAGTTAAGATTGTGACAATGAGTGAAAAGTATTAAAGGTTTATAACATTCATCAAATGTGGAAAGTTGTGATGTCTTGATAAGACAAAGGCCAACTAGGACCAATTTATGAAGTGTTTTGATAAAAGCTACACTAACTCTTGAATATTTGGTTGTCAACAAATGTTTATTGACAAGAGAATCTTATATGTCAAGGAGTCAGGGAGTCTTAATGGTCTTGAAAGGT